CCACTCCCATCCGGTCACATGGGTGGCAAGCCACTCCCACAAAGGAGGCCATACCCACAGAGTAGGTTCGAACAATTTTTGAAACCCACCACTGGTGGGCGCCATTACTTACACTGCTACAATGGCACCAACCACATGAAGGATGGGGGAGAGGGGAGAGAAACCCTGTCAGCTTAAGAAATTTCAAGGTTGGCAAGTGTATCGACGCACCACTAAATAAACGTGAAGGGGAAAGAAGAAAACCAATTCAGAGAGGATTTGTCAGGCTCCAAATGCCAAGTAAGACACATCGTGATTCTTCCAAGCAAATTTCTTTATTCACCTATAGACAGAATCTTGCCAAACTAAAGCAGACTCCATCAGCAAAAAGCATACACTCTTGGAACTGTTAAGGAGGTGAGGTCTTCATCCTCTTTCTCTTACACAATAGCGCTTAGACTTATATACCACTTCACAGCGCTTTACAGCTCTCGCGAAGCGGTTTACAAAGTCAACCTCTTGCCCCCAACAGTCTGGGTCCTCATTTTACCGACCTCAGAAGGGTGAAAGGCTGGGTCAACCGTGAGCCTGGTGAGAACTAAACTGCCAAACTGTTGGCAATCGGCAGAATTAACCTGCAACACTGCATTCTAACCACGGCACCACTCTGATCTAAGTTGTCTCTTTCTCCTCAGGAATTCACTCCTGGGAATCCAGACTATATTTTATCACAGGGTATCTAGGGATTGATGAATGTTGGCTAGATAGAAAGGAGAAAATTTAAAAGAGGGTGAAGGAAGAATAAAATAGAGTGGCAAGCATCCTTAAACTCAATGCTACAAGGCTGGTTGCATCATTTCTTTAAAAAAGAGGGCAGAGTTATCTTTTGTTCCTCCAGATGCAAGCTTTGGTAAAACAGTAATTATGTAATTACGTCTTTTTAGAGGGGAAAAGGAGGGGAACATAGGGCCAGGGTTTCATGTGGCTTTATCTCTCATTTTGGTAACCCCGGCTCCCAGGCCATCTGATTCAGCTCCACTGTATTTTCCATTGGCTGAAAGGCTGAGCACCAAAGAATGGCGGCCTTTGAACTCTGCTGCTGGAGAAGACTCCTGCAAGTCCCTTGGACAACCCTGATTGCTCTTCAGAAGGCCAGATCCTGAAGATGGAACTCAAATACTTTGACCACCTAATGAGAAGGAAGGATTCCCAGGAGAAGAGCCTGATGCTGGGAAAGATGGAGGACAAAAGAAGAAGGGGATGGCAAAGAATGAGGTGGCTGGATGGAGTCACCGAAGCAGTCAGTGTGAGCTTAAATGGACTCCAAAGGATGGTAGAGGACAGGAAGGCCTGGAGGGATGTTGTCCATGGGGTCATGATCAGAGATGGGTTCCTACAGGTTTGGCCGAACCGGTAGTGGTTTGCCGGCCTGGGTTGCAGAACTGGCAGCGACCCAGGCTGGCCACGCCCCTGAACCGATTCCCTGGTCACCACCATCTTCTTTTTTAGTTCTGCACATGCACAGAACAATTTCAATTGAACTGCGCATAAACAAAGCGCGCACGCAAGCGAACCAGCAGTAACCCTGGCTGAAACCCACCCCTGGTCGCGATGGGTCGGACACAACTTTGCAGCTAGCAACAACAACAAATTTCCATTGGAGGCAAGCACCAAGTAAGAACTGTAATCTGAATTCAAACTAAACTTCAAGGTTGAAACAACACAACAGCATCAACAAAGAAACATTCAACTTCTCCTTTCGCTCACCAAACAACATCAGGGAGAGAAAACATGACATGACATCCTAACTTCCCAAACATTTATGAGGTAAAGATGCAGCTTCTCTGCTTGTGCAGAGATTTTTCCAAACAGGCTACAACCCTTAGATAATAAAAATTATCCACCTCAGTTTTGTTTTGTTTTTTAAGAAAAAGAAGCAACTGGATTTTTTTTTAATTCAGAAAAGTTATTGCAAATTCTCAAGAATTTGCCAATCTTTGCCCATCTTCACAAATGATGAGGAATGCCACATCTCATCCTGATCGTCTAAACTAAATTCTTATATGCTCAGCCCTGCAAGCATTCAAATTTAAATTTAAACACATACATAAATAAATCATATGCTCCTAAGAGTCTGTGAAGATGAATATCTTATTCATTTGAGGCTATTTGTATGCTGGTCAAAACGACATTCAGCTCCTCCTTCTTCAAGACATCTAGCCCTATAGCAAGAATTTAATTTAGTTTCATGCATGTTTGAACTGGGGTGCTACGCATATTAATAAGTGGAGAGGTGCCTTAGATCAGAAACCTATTAACCTCCTCCGGCCTATTATTCTTCAAAGTTGTGTGAGGTTCCATCTTCCAGAATTCCTAATCTGAAGACCAAGCTGGCTGAAAATTCAAAGATTTTAGAAAAAAGGGAGGAAGTCATTGCTTTTCCCCTCTTTCTCTCTTACCTTGCACCCCCTCTCTCCTTCCCTTAGTCATTCCTGTATTATTATCTTTCTTTTTATTTGCATTTTATATTATAATAAACTTCAATTTTTTTTAAAAAAAAAAAAAGAGAAAGAGACAGCTCCTAAAAAGAGTTGCCAGGCTGATATCTTCCAAACACCGGGCAGTAGCAGCAATTATTTGGCAAGAAGTCAGGAACAGATCTTCACCCTAATAAATTGAACTAATTGTCTCCTTCAAACTCCCCTCCCCTTTAGCTCCTCTTTTATTTCCTCTGGGAGGGGCCATTCACCGTCCACCTGTGCCTTTGCTCCCAAGTCAGCCCTTGTTCCTTGCTGTTCCCTTCTCCTGGCAGCTCTGCGCATGCGCAGATCAGGAACAGGCTCCAATTGTTCGTCTGCCTCACTGATGTCTGACTCTGAAGGCAGCTGATAACTGGCATACGGCCCTGGCCCCCTCTCTGCCTCCGACACAGAGCCCTCATCAGAGCTTTCCCCAGACTCCAGGACTGGCCCATGTTCCTCCCCATCCTCCTCACTGTCTGAGTCTGCCATCGCTGGTGGGCCACAACACCATGTATTATGTTGGCCAAACAAAGTAGTTCCTAGATTCTACTTTCAGACTGTAGTTTCTTTCCAAGAATTAAACTCGGTAAATTCAACAACTTTTCCTTTTTTTACTGAATCCTTGGTTACTTACGTGCTTTTGGGGAGGAAGTATCTGAATGTAGGCTGCTGGCGGACTCTGCTTCCAAGATGGCTTTGTCTCTCTTCTCTTTCTCTGTCATAGGAACAGGAGGGGGAGGAAAGGACACAAAATCTCATCAGTTTCTCAGTCAGTTTTAAGACCACAATCCACAAAACTGCATTATAACCTACAAGAAGGTAAAATAGGTAGTGATTTTTGTTCCTGTGCTCTGTCTAGAAGGGACCCTAAAGCCCAATTAACTGTACAATTTGAATCTAGACCTTTTCCCATTCACTTTGCATTTTGGTTGTCTTAA